GAGATACCATCGCCAACCGTCAGCTGTCTTCTGGCTCAAGTTGCCGTCAAAATCTCCCAAGGGCTGCACAATGTGACGCATCAACATATTGTGAAGCAGTATACTATGAAGGATAATTATAATATATTGTAACTTCAGGCTCAGAAGGGCTAGATCCCAGAGACGTAAAGCCAGTTATTAAAAAATCAACATTCATGCATTGTGGTCAGTGTTGCCAATTTGTGGGGAATTCCCCAAACTGCGGAGAATCTCAAGTTTATATAAAAAAGGAAATACTCTTCATTGCGCCAAATTTATATTTCGACATCTTTATTCTTTCGCTAATCGTAAAATTGTTTTTTGTATTTTATAATGGTTTTAGGGTTTATACATTTCTTTCTTCAGATTTCGTGTTTATTCCAAATTCATTAAAAATATTTTAGCGACATGTAGTGGCTATTGTGAATATTAATACAGAATTTTCATGGACTTATATAGTTTGAAGTTCAGTTTCTTTTCAATCAAAAGCTGGAGAAAGTATGGATAATTTAAAAAATGATGAAAATGTACCTCGTGCTGCTCTTTCATATTTCTGTAGAACCTGCCGGGAGTTTTATATTGAATTGACATCAGACATGAAGCCAAGTGACTTGATTTCGGGGATCCTTTATTTTCTATTACATCCGCTGTAAATCCATCAGAAGCTCAACAGTTTTTGTGTTTTATAAATTTGTGACCGCACAAAAATTAGATGATGAGTGGCGAACTCACGCTTTGTTAGATTTTGATCAACATGGGCTTGAAATATAATGGAGATAACATCGAAGTCGAAAGTTACTAGGGTAAAATGTTTCGTCTTAAAAATGATGCGGGAGAATACATGTTTCCAAACATAAAAATTGTTACGTCTTTGTTGCTCATATTGCCATTTTCAAACGCATCGGTCGAAAGAAAATTTAGTGCGCTTCGATATTTAAAAACTAAAAACCGTAATCGGCTAAATACAGATACTGTAGTATATTTAATGGTAACAAGAGAGGGGATAAAAAAATTGGGCGGCAGTGTCAAGTTTAATAATCCTTCGAGCAAAATGCTTGCATCAAACGTATGAAAAAGTTTAAAAAATAAATATTATTTAAATAGTTGAAACTTGTTTCATTGTTTAAAATAATGTTGAGGGGAATTTATGGGGAAACAGCAGATTTTTGTTTTTGTCCCCAAATTTTGGGAATTTTATTCGGATTTTTGGGGTATTACATACATTGGCAGCCCTGATTGTGATTCATTGGATTGGATTCTTTTTATATAATTATATATTATGGATGCCATACACGATCAAGTTTACCGTCAAGTTTGCAGCGCGCTTGAAGCGGCGTCAAGTTTGCAGTGCATCCATATAGCCCACACACGTTCAAGTTTGCATGATGCCGCATCAGTTGAAACCATGGCGTCACTAGTGACGGACGACGATGCGTTAGCCATCTTAGGCTTATAAATTATTAATAAATATATTATACACCTAGGGAAACAACTTTCGTACTCAAGCTCAGGCTTGAAAATTACATTAAACGTAGGTAGGGTATTTTTACAATTATTAATTACGTGCGCGGGTATTACTAATAACAGAAACAGAAACAGAAACTTTTTTATTCAATATAGATTTTAAATAATACTTATTGAAAGTCACACTTTTGTTTAATTGCCACTGGTTCGAAAAAAAACCTCTATCCTGGGAAGAACCAGCAAGAAACCCAGCGGGACTTTTTTTTAAATAACAGCTTACAATCATGTAGGTACCTATGTTACACGAATTAACAACACAACAAATTATTAATAGCTAGTCATGGATTCGACCCCACACAGAGTGATACAAGTACGTGCATAAATACTATTGCTGACGTTGCACCCAGTGTGTGGCCTATATCGTGTCACTTGAGTAAGCAAATGTAATAGAGTCTGCATGAAAGATGTATTAGAATAAGTTTGCCATTGTTGAAGTACATGAGCTTCTGTACGGACATCTCTTAGTTTTATTTTAGTTTTTAAAAACGCCTCCACCGCTCCCGTTAACTTGACTGGCGCAGCCGTTAGGATCGCCATTTGCTTGCGCCGTCCGCGAAATAAATTCGAATAAAATCGTTTACCGCGTTCGTGCCGCGAGGCGATCCTGCGAACCAATATAAATTTGTCAAGTGGAGAGCAGCTGAAGATGACGAAGGCCGGCTGGTGAGTCCAAATTTTCACCTTCCTTTCCTTGCCATATTATATAGTTTTGTTATTTTGCAATTAGACCTCTTGCGATATAACGTTATCTGGTTTTACATAAAAATCTGTGAAACTTATATTTAAGAATACTTAAACTTAATAACTAACAGCATAAAGAAATACTAGGAATAACTAGATAAGTAAGCGCGTCCATGCAATAGCGACGCGATAAGAGCTTGCACTGTGGGAACAATGCGATTATAACTATTACAAATTATAATTGTATTGTATGTTCGTTGATTAAATTTTTATTGAGGACTTATTTATTTCATATTTTGTATTTTACTTATTAATTATTTTACTTTTATTTTGACTGTGTTTTTGATTGTGAATTTGAAGTCTTGTATTAATTATATTATTTTATCGCCGTATTTTATAAAATAAAGTTATACAAAATGGAAGATCAAGTGCAAATTAAGATGATTCCTAATGAAATGCTCAAAATTGTACCGATATTCAACGGTGATAAGCACCAATTAAATCTTTTTATTCGCAAATGTGAGTATATATTAAATAAATATAGGGGATCCGATGAACAAAATTTATACGTAATGTTCGCGATAACAAGTAGACTCGTAGGCGACGCTGCAGCGCTCTTTAGCGAGCGCGAGGACATTAATTCGTGGGAAGATTTTAGAGAACTGCTAATTCAACATTTTGGAGACCCTAGGAGTGAAGAATGTATTGCTATAGAACTTGAAGGTTTGCGTATCCGAAACAATGAGTCATATTTAGATTTCTGTAATAGGATCCAATCCGTTCGTAGTGTTTTAATATCGAAAGTAAATAGATTAACCGATCCGAATGTAAAGAGTAGCAAAATTATTATATATCACATCTTTAAACGTCTTTTTGTATAATTTGCCAGAAAATATGGTGCGAATTGTTCGCTTAAAAGCGCCCAGTACACTAGAAGAGGCTTTAAGCGTGGTCATGGAAGAAGTAAACTTCCATGAGCAGTATACCTTACGTAATAAAATGTATAGTAATCCTAGTAATAAACTAACGCCACCCAGTATACCAAATAATAATCCTACGTTTAAATTCGGTTCAAATAATTTTAATTCAATGGCACCTATGGGCTATAAACCCGAATTAATTCCTAACAAATTTAACTTTGGACTTCCGCAGGGGTCACAATCAAAACTAACTCAATTTAATAATAATCAACAAAATTTTGGATACCGCCCCCAACAATTCGGCTTCCGCCCGCAACAATTTGGTATAAGCCCGCAACAGTTTAATATGCGCCCACAACAATTTAATATGCGTCCACAACAGTTCGGGATGCAACCACAAACATTTAATATACCTCAACAATTCGGTATGCGCCCACAACAATTCGGTATGCGCCCACAACAATTTGGAAACCAACAACAAAACTTTTATAAGCCCCAACAATTTGGTTACAAGCCTCAGTTAAATAAAAATCAATACACTGGGCCCAGTGACGTCACAATGCGAACGGCACCACCACTTAAAACAAATCAACAAGGCTTTCAGTTAAATGAACTCGACCTTGATAATACGTATTACGATGATGCGTGCGGCGATGTGTACCCACTTTCTTATGATAACTGCTGCTATGAGGAGTACTCAAGCAGTGGCCTTAATGTTCCCGAGCTCGATTATTATGAAAATCAATATCCGACAATAATTCCTGAAGTAACACAAAGCATCCCAACCAATATGGACGACAAGGATTTTCAGGTCGAAGCCTCGGAACTTACGAAAAAATAGAGTTAAATTGTAGTACTAATTTGAGATTGCCGTTTATTTATATACCGGAAATCGACTCCAAATTTATGATTGATACAGGTAGTACGCGATCATTCATTAGTCCATCAAAGGCTTATAAGTACTTTCCAGAGTACATAAGTCACGAACCATTCGAAGTCATTAGCACACATGCGTCGAGCAGACATGATCAAGTTATTCAAATCCCGTCTTTACCAGTTTTCAACTGTAACGATATTCATAAACTATACATTTACAATGTCGACTCTAGGTACGATGGCTTAATTGGGAATGATATACTTTGCAACCTAGAAGCAGTAATAGATTTAAAAAACGAGATTCTTAAAACTAAAACTACCGTAATACCTATAACACATAGTAAATCTTCTTACGTTTTGGAGTTATCTCCCCGTTCCGAGCAAAGAGTCAAACTCCCAACAAATTTATATTCAGGTAATGCTGTAATCGATTATAAAGAATTCTGTAAGGGTGTGCGAATGCCTAGTGCGTTAGTGAGATGTAAGGATGGTTATACGACTACAGTAATCCAGAATACCTTAGATATACCGATAAAATTAACTATAAAAAAACCATTGAATGTAGAAGCATATGAAGAGAGTAAAGCGACTAAATGTATAGTTAACCATATTACAGATATGTCAGATATTGAAGTAGATAAAATATTAGAGCAAAATTTAGAGAAACTACGCTTAGACCACATGTCGGAAGAAGAACAAAAATCGATATACCACTTATGTAGAGAATATAAAGATATTTTTTATAGCGATCAAATACCTTTATCTTTTGCTAATGAGGTGAAACACTATATTAGAACAAAAAACGAAGACCCTATCTATGTCAAACCCTACAGGCAACCTCCCGCACAAACACAGGAAATTAAAAACCAGGTACAGAAACTATTAAATGATAATGTGATTCAGGAATCCTTTTCGCCTTGGTCAGCCCCAGTCCATTTAGTTCCCAAAAAGAGAGACGCATCTGGTGAAATGAAGTATAGGATGGTTATCGATTACAGACGTCTAAACGACATAACTGTGGACGATAAGTACCCTTTACCCAATATCACTGACATTTTTGACAAACTAGGTAAGAGTACTTACTTTTCAACCTTGGACTTAGCTAGTGGATACCACCAAATTGAGATCAACGAATCAGATAGACAAAAAACGGCATTCAGCACAGAGAACGGACACTATGAATTCCTGCGAATGCCCTTTGGCCTGAAGACAGCTCCAGCCACCTTCCAAAGAGCCATGGATAACATCCTAAGAGGCTTACAAGGAATTCATTGCCTTGTCTATCTTGATGACATAATTATTTTCTCGTGTAGCCTCCAGGAGCATTTACAAAAATTAAGGACAGTTTTTGACAGATTGAGATCGACTAATTTAAAAATACAACTTGACAAATCAGAATTCTTGAGAAAAGAAGTGCTATACCTAGGGCACGTTATTACTAAAGACGGACTTAAACCAAACGATGATAAGATTCAGGCTGTATTAAGCTACCCGTTACCAAGGACGACTACCGAGATCAAGAGTTTCCTAGGATTGATTGGCTATTACAGACGCTTTGTAAAAGACTTCGCCAAAATCACTCAGCCCCTTACAGCATGCCTAAAGAAAAGAAATAAAATTGTAATAGATCAAAAATATATTGATGCGTTTCAGAAGTGTAAGGAGCTTCTGACTAATGCACCTTTACTCCAATACCCAGATCCAGACAAACCTTATGTTTTAACTACAGATGCCTCTACTGTTGCTTTAGGTGCGGTCTTATCGCAGGGGACAATAGGATCCGATAAGCCCATTGCCTACGCCAGTAGAACTCTCAGCGACACTGAGACCAGATATAGTACAATAGAGCGTGAACTACTCGCCATAATATGGGCCGTAAAACATTTTAGACCATACCTTTACGGGCGTAAGTTCACCATATATACCGACCATAGACCACTAGTTTGGCTTTACTCACTTAAAGAACCGAACAGTAAACTGACCCGTTGGCGTTTACGTCTTCAAGAGTACGACTTCGATATTGTATACAAAAACGGAAAACAAAATAGTAATGCTGATGCCCTCTCTCGGATAAAACTAAATGCCATAGACTCTGATGACTCACAATCATTGGAAGTAAACCTGGACCCTAAAGAACAAAAACTGCAAAAATATCTGACAGAATTAACTGACCAAATTGTGGACTTAACGACTGAAAACAGGGACGACTCTAGGACAATAACTATAACTGACACATCCGCCACTGTATCCGTCGACCAGTTAGAGACTAACACGAAATACCCGTTACCACCTATATCCTCTGATAGTAGTATAGTAACTGTGCATTCTGGACAAGATCTAGAATCTAATGGTATTCCGATATTAAAGGAGGCTATTGACTCAAAACCAAACCAAATTTTAGTTTATACCTGGCATAAAAATGAAGTACAAGTAAGAAATTTATCCAGGGATAAACAAAAGGTTCTCGAAGTTTTTGCCCCACTTAAGAATGAAGATCTTATTAAAAATTTCTAAAAAGAGTACATTAAGCCCAAGACTAAATATTTTATTTATTTCGAAAACATTCAACATAGAAAAGAATTCTCTAAAATTATTATACAGCTATTTAAAAAGGGAATGGTAGAATTTATTGAATGAACAGAGCGTGTTATATATGTAGAAGACGAGAAAGAACAAAAAGAAATCATACTGCAACATCATGAGGGAAAGACGTGTCACAGAGGAATAAAGGAAACAATGAGTAGAATTAAAAGAAATTATTATTGGCAGAACATGCAAGAGACGATTGCTGCAGTACTTAATGTTTGTGATGCCTGTAGAAAAATGAAATATGAAAGAAAACCCATTAAACCATTACTTCAATTAACTCAAACCCAAAACGCCCCCTTCCAAGAAGTTTCCATGGACCTTTTTTCAATTGAATCCGTTTATTACCTAACTTTGGTTGACGCATTTAGTAAATTAGGACAAGCTATCGAAATCCCAAATAGATCCGCACCGGAAATCGTAAGAGCGCTTATTAAATATTTTTCAATATACGGAACACCTAAAAAAATAACTTCTGATCCCGGTAGTGAGTTTAATAATGATCTCATTAAGGAACTTATGACTATGTATAACATACTACTACACATTACCACTCCTAATAACCCGAATTCAACAGGCATAATAGAGAGATTCCACTCCACAATTATAGAGATATACAGATTGGCGAAATACGAACGAAAGTGTACAGATGCAGCTACTGTAATGAGTTACTCAATTATGGCTTATAACCACACCATACATAGTACAACCGGCCTTACTCCTTTCAAAATCGTTTTCGGTCATACCGACTCTAATTCAACGTTCACCGCGAATTTCGAGAAATGTTACACCCAACAACTATTAAAAGATCATGCTAAACGTATTAGATATCTATATAATTACATATCAGATAAAATCTTAGAGAAAAAGGAAAAGGTAAGGGAACAAAAGGGCGGTGAAACAGATAGAAATTTTAGAATAGGAGATGTTATATACGCCAAGGAATCTAACATAAGAAGAAGTAAAGACAAACCGCGATATAGGAAAGCTGTCGTTAGTGGTAATATAGAAAGAAATATAGTTCCTGTTAGGATTGGTAATAGAAATACTTCAGTGCCAATTAAAAATATTAAACGTCCTCCACAGGTGGTGTATAATAATTCTGACGATGGTTCAGAAAGGATGGGCCCTTCAACTTCGAAAACTTGAAAAAAACCCAGGAATCCTGCCTGTCAAACTGGGTCGTGCCTCATTGCAAATAGACAATTGGCTTATTATTAAAACTTTAAACTTAGAAGGTATAGGTAGTGATTTAGATTTTAGTATATTAAAGTATGACGAATTCGTTGCGTTGATAGATGTTAATAAACCATATATTCATGAATTTTTAGCTATTCGAACACATGTAGGGTATTTAAGAGATGCAACTATAGAAAAATTTCGGCAACTTGTGCCATCGAAAAGATTTAAAAGAGGCATTATTGACCCGCTTGGGTCTATGATAAAAATAGTAACTGGAAATTTGGATCATGATGATGCCGTCCGATATGACTCATTGATTTCTAAACTAAACGATAATCAGATAATGTCGGATAAGAGAATTACATTAGTCTCCAAAATCTTGGATAGTTTCATCAACAGTACAGAGACCTTACATAACAATACTTTAATATTAGATGAACGCTTGAAGAGAATTGAAAGAATTGTTAAATTCCTAATTACAAAAGAAGAAAACTCCATTTATTGTACCTATGTCCTAGGTATGTTTGACATGTTTTTGAGTTATTTTAGAACTATTAACGTAATACTAGGAGAAATCGAAACTGCACTAGCATTCAGTAAGGTATCTGTTCTGCATCAAGCAATTTTTAACTCTACGGAATTGTTAAATTTATTACAATCAATCGCGATAACTGAAAATCTATTATATCCTGTAAATGAAAATAACTTAGTTAAACTAGAAAATTGTATTAAGGTTAAGGCTTTTATAAAAGGAAACCAGGTCACGTTTATCTTAGAGGTCCCTTTAGTAGGGAATAAAACATATAGTTACTTCAAAATTTATTCATTGCCAATTGCTATTGCAAACAAAACTATTATAGTTATTCCCAAATACCCATACCTATTGGTGAAAGAAAAGGAATACTTGCCAGTCCCGAGAGCCTGCAAACAAATTGCTTTGGATAATCAATTCCTGTGCAATACCGACGATGTGCTGCTGCATACAGAACAAAGCTGCGTGGAACAGCTCATGGAGTTTCAATCAAACCTCGATGCCTGTGAACAGCATACTGTGGACATTGAAGATCCCAAAATTCAACGAATAAGCCACGAAAGCTGGATACTGTACGTGAGAAATCATAGAATACTTACCAGAAAGTGCAACAATGACGTCACTCATGAACTTTTATGTGGTACTTACATAATCACCGTAGACGATTTCTGTGAAGCCGAAATTGGAAATATTCATTTTAAATACCACCAATCTTCTTCAGATGTCCTAAATTACCGAATTTACCCAATGACTAACTTGCCAGAACTGAAGATTTCGAAGCCTCCCATTGTCAGTGAAGTGAGTTTAAAAGGTATAAATCTAGACGAAACTAAACAATTACTTCAACTAGTAAAACTTAGCAAAATAAATCTCAGTGAAAATGCAAGTGCTATTAATGTTAAAAGTGTGAGTTTAGGAACGATAATTTTGTATGTAATTCTATCAATTATTTTCTGTATTTTTATTATAATTAGACATAAACTGTGTGTAATTAAGCGAAATCATCGGATTCCTGAAAATGCCGATAATTTCGCTCTTGAGGAGGGAAGAGTCATGGATTCGACCCCACACAGAGTGATACAAGTACGTGCATAAATACTATTGCTGACTTTGCACCCAGTGTGTGGCCTATATCGTGTCACTTGAGTAAGCAAATGTAATAGAGTCTGCATGAAAGATGTATTAGAATAAGTTTGCCATTGTTGAAGTACATGAGCTTCTGTACGGACATCTCTTAGTTTTATTTTAGTTTTTAAAAACGCCTCCACCGCTCCCGTTAACTTGACTAGCTTGGTAGCGATCACCTCATTTCCAAGGGTTATTGTCATTTATAAATTCTTTAATATTATAATAACAGTTCTTATACAAACTTAGTTTAATAAAGTTTTTGAAATTTGAGCATGTCAAATTTTGTATATTTTCTGGAATTTTGTTGTAAAAGCGATTAACAAAAGCGGATAACACTATGCAACACTCAAAAAATCAGTAGAAAATAAAAGAAAACAAACTTATCAAAGATGTTTTATGACCTATAAAACATCTTTGAAACTTATGTTTCGTTATCACATCTCAAGACTTCTTACTTTTTACATAAATAAAATCTTATTACGAGTAGGTAGTTCACCTTTGCACTAATTTTCCTATCTTTTAGTGAAATAAGTAAAAAAAGGATTTAATTGGTTGCGTTGTAAATATATACGAGTATATGTACACTTACCTGCTGTGGTACAATTAATTTTTTATTTGCGACAAACATGGCTCATTTCTATAAATATTAATAAAGTCGCAGAGGACTTCTCTATAACGCGCAGTATTTTGCGACATGGCGCTCGTCACGTGCGGTACATGCGTACGTCTTCGCTTGCCGAAGCCGACTAACGTCATGCATACTTGACCGCTCATACACACGTTCAAGTTTGCATGACGCTGCAAGCTTGATCAAGTCGGCAGAATCGAAATTCAATTTTTGCTTCAAATAGACTTGTCATGCATACCCACAGCCATACAGCGTCAAGTTTACCGGACGCCGCTTCAAGCGCGCTGCATACTTGACGGTAGACTTGATCGTGTATGGCAAAGAGAATATAATCACTACGTTGTGTATGGCATCCATTACTCTACTCCTACTCTATGATCTATGATTGTTTTCATTGCTTATGATATGATTGGTTCATGGTTCATGGTTATAATAAGCACAAATGTTAATAATAATTGCTTTACTCTAATTTAAATGCTTTGCTTTAAATAAGTATAATTAAACAAAAATTTGAAGATAAAGAAAAGGTATGTAAGAATAAGAGTAAGATTATTTTAAAGCAGTTTATGAAAATGTCAGATAACCTTAACTTTCATAATTTAAGCAAGGACTTATTGAAAAAATATACATTACTAAATTAAATTACTAACCAGTTAAAAACCTCAGAAATTCGCTCAGTATTTTTAGCTAGAATAATTTTTATTCAATTTAAAAATTGCGAAAGGGCGTGCATTTTCTTTACAAAAACAAGATACATTAGATATTTTAGATATTATTTTTTATTTTATATAGATTTTTTTATATAGAATTATTAGATATAGATACATTTCTAGCAGTTTTTTATTAGGTTAAAGTCTCATAGTGTCCTGTTAAATAAGTTTGGCAATATTTAAACTTATTGATTGAGAGAAAACTGCACACTAAAGAAAATGCGTAGTAGTAGTAAGGAAGATATGCAAATTAAAAAAAAGTATTTTAAATCATTACTTCATACATATTTTTTGTGCTCATTATTCTACGTAGTTATTTAAGCTACTATTTAACTCTGGTATTCCCCTTATTGGTTGGTATGACTTATAAGGTTGCAGGAAAAAGTTTCTGTGTTTTGTTTTTTATGTGGTAGAGCCATGCCGCAGATATAATAGTAGTATAGTTGTAGCACTAAGGGAAGGACCACTCTCTCACAGAATACCAGCGTAAAATGGCAGCTTGACTCTGATGTGTTTTGTGTGGTGAGTGTAGAGAACCGGAGACCTATTTCACTGGAAAGGAGGCATTCCATCTTAGTCCTCACGGATGACAACGCATCCGCATTTTGCTTCTTTATTGAGGATACATGTAGATGTCTATGGGCCACAGCAACCACTTACCATCAGGTAAACTATGTGCTTGCTTGTCACCCTATCCTACAAAAAAATATAAGACATTTTTTTCAAAGTTTTATACATTTAATTATAATATACAAGGTTAAATATATAAATAATGATATACTATTATTGCAGTTTATGTAAATACAAGTGAAAAAGGCTTCTGCTTTGATTTGAAATTATCCTAAATTGAATGTGATTTATGGGCAACAATTTTACATGTGTGCTCCTCTGTGTGCGCCTCAATTCACAATGTTTTTCCCATCAATCGACCCTTATGAATGTGTGCTTGCTTAGAACATAGTAGGCGTTACATTTTTATGAATGACATTCTGAATTTAAAAGATAAAACGGACCAAATGTTTGAGATTTGCCTATATTACTTATTCTGACCCTTTTCTCCAAATTTGGCCGGTTATTGCAAAATAACCCTGTGTATGTGCCATTTTGTTCAATAACTTGTTGCCATATTGTACCTAGTGACATAATCCTGTCACTGTAGAAATTTTGGAAGTATTGATTAAAAAAATGCAACAAGTAGTTTTGACAGTCCTCTCTTGATGTTAACCTAACACTACCCAAAAACTTCTAAAGAGACCGAAACAGGTGAAAATCTAAGGATGCAAGGTCAGGACTATATGGTGGATTCATTAACACTTCCCAACCAAGTTCTCTCAATTTTGTCTGAGTGGCTAAAGATGTGTGTGGTCTGGCATTATCATGATGAAAGACCACTCCTTTTCTGTTGATTAATTCTAACCGTTTTCTCTCAATTTCTTGCTTGGGTATCATTAGTTGTTGGCAGTAGAGACCCGAATCAATGGATTTGCCCGGCAGTAAAAGCTCATAATAAATAATGTCCTTCCTATCCCACCATGCACACAGCATCACCTTATTGCGTGTTAATCCATGTTTCGCTACAGTCGTGGAGCTTGACTACCACTCTACCATGATCATTTTCGCACGTTCTTGTTGTTAGGTGATCCACTTTTCATTACCAGTGATCAATTCTTTCAAAAATGGTTCGGTTTCATTACATTTCAATAGAGAATCACAAATGAGTACATACGCTTACAGATATCATTACGTTTCTTTCAGTGAGCTCGTGTGGAAAACGCTTGAACCAACTTTGTGCTACTCTTACTGACACTGCATTAGGTTCATAAATGTTACAATTTTTTTTCGTGGCTTGAGTCCTATATTTTCCTTCTTTGTAATGAAACTTCAGAACATACAAATTTCTTCGTTAGATTCATTAATTTTGGTGGACAGAAAAACAATTGAAAAATGGAGGAAAGTGTTTTTTGCTGTTTCTTAACGGCCTTTATGTATCGATATTAAAACCAGCCAGATACAAATAGTACAATCAATGAGATTTTAAACAAACACAAAAGGAAGAAACTTTTTCCCCAACTTATTATTTGTGCTGCAACCATAATAAAGCTACAGTGTGGCTCAACCACCTTGAATGCTCAAGTTATTATAAGAACTCATACTCACATAATGTTCATCAAAGAGAATATAATCACTATGCTTTAATATGCATCTCAAATCATTAAAAACCAATACGGTTTTAGTTTTATTTGTTAAGCAGTACTTTTACGCATGGATATCAGGAAGTTGAGCATGAATTAACATTCAGTATTCTTTGTTGGTCTGAGTCTGTATCTCACAGTGACCTAGCGTAGTGAGTAAGGGCAAATTCTTAGAATAATCATTGCCAACGGGTGCAATCTTAAAAGGCCTATTTTCATCCTGAACATACAAAAGCTGTTGATGAATGTATGATGATGTAAATTTATATTTGATTTTTCAGATGTGGCCTATATTAATGCAATTTTTACGTACAAATGCTCCATACATTACTTTACCAATTGCAGCAGTAGTTGGTATCATAGGATACAATCTTGAGAGCTTATTATCGGATAGATATACCCCATACAATAGTAAGTATGTTAACTTATTGTTTAGGCCCAAACTTGGGCATTTGAGACGCCATCCAATCACGTTCGACTGGGCGCATCGCCCGATGGTGTGAGGTAACGTGCGCGACGCCGGGGGCGGGGCAGCGGTATGCCACTTCCCGGCGTTCGGCCTCGTGAGTGCGTGTCAGTAGCTTTGCAGCAGCGGTGCTGTCGATAGCGTATTTTTGTGGCCTCTGCAACGGTTTCGCATGACCAGTTTTTGGTTTTGTTCTAGAATTTGAGTCTTTGTGCGCGTTTAAGTTTGAAAGCAGCGGTGCTGTCGATTAGCGTTTTTTTGTGACAGCTGCAACGGTTTCGCGCGACCAGTTTTTCGTTTTGTGGTCTAGAATTTGAGTCTTAGTGTGCATTTAATTTGCTATTGAATTTGGGTCGTGTAGACCGATATTTCGATATGTATATTCCCGATATTTTGAGTACTTTATAACCATCATCCGTAAAAACTAGTTTAATTTAAATGTATAGTGTTTGTGTAAACATAAGAAATCATTAAATGGTATTAATTATTTTAAGAGTGAAATGCTTTCTGTTTGTTCGGTGATTTTGCATTTTTCTTTAATTTCATCTGACAATTTCTTTTTTTTTTTTATTTATAGGATAAGAGTGACAAACGAGCACACAGTCCACCTGATGGTAAGTGGTTGCTGCGGCCCATAGACATCTACATCTATCCTCTATTACAAATCAAAATGTAGATGCGTTGTCACCCGTGAGGACTAAGATGGAATGCCTCATTTCCAGTAAAAAGGGCCTCCGGCCACCTGCACTCACCAAGCGAAACGCAGAGGTAAACCTCTACTTCACGCTGGTTTTCTGTGAGATCGTAGTACCACCCCGGTTCGAGCCGGCCCATCCGTGCGACAGCAAAAGCTGCCCCGTGGCTCTACCACTGTTAAAAATTATTGTTAAATCCTTATCCCTATTCCTATTGGAGTTCCTATTGCTAAAATAAACAGTAAGTAGCTTAATGAATATGACAATATGTGAAAAATTTTAGCCAGATCACAAATATTATTTTTAAGAATTCTGTGTTTTCAATTATTAAATATTTTCAATTTAATTAAATATTTTCCTTTGTTTTTTTGTGTTACTGCATAACTTTTTTCTGGGTGAACCGATTTCAATTATTCTTTTTGATTTGTAAGCTGGTGCTTGATTGAATTTGATCGAAGTCTGACCAATAGTTTTTGAGATATTCTTAATAATTTATACTGAAGTTGGTTATACAAATTTTAAATTATTCTTCAGATAGAGTTCCGTAAAGTAATTCCCCTGCCCTACTATCTAATGTTGATTATTAAAATAAAAGTATTTGATTTTTTTTAACACTTTTATTATTATGAAATATTTTTTTAACCTTTCAGAGTCTGTCCAAGATCAGAGATTAGATAGACTAACATCTGAAGAGGAAATTTTAAATGATCCAACAAATGTCAAGAAACTAAAATATCAAGAGAATGTTCTTGGAAAGAACGTTTCGCCATCTTTAGAGAAAAACTAGTCATTTTTAGTATGTTGATACTTGCTAGATAATAAATTAGGGTTTTCATTGTTTATAATTTTTACATGAGCAATACAAAGCAGAACAATGCAAATAAATGCTGATGATGCCCTCCTAGCCAACTATTATATTAATAAAACCTACACACAAACACACATCCTTTCATTTATCCTAATTTAAATGTGCTGGTGGTAATGCTTATGCAATAAATTCAGAGTATATTGTGGAGATAATGATTTCGAGATAATTGCAAAACAATTGTGGATGTGAATTCTAATCATTTGTGTGTTTGCATACATTTAATATACACATTAAAAGTAAAAGAAGTTTACTTACGAGTTACAAATATTTCAGCTCAGTGCCTGATTTACGAGTTCCGACAGCCCTAGGCTAACTATGAATATGCGCTTTCTCTCCGGCCTGTTCTGTCTGTGCCTGCCCAGCCGACGAGTATATTTATTAGATTTTTATATTTTATTAGTTTTCCACCCCACGTTTAGAGCCCACTTTAAATCAAATTTCCCTGATAGTAAGTGTCGATCATCGCCAATGAATAACTGCAAAACCAGGAAAATTACAGGTTGCGTTGCCGGCCTTTTTAAAAGGAGTAAGTTCGATCCTTGGAAAGTCTTAAGTCGTATCGGTCCGGAAAAACCGCCGGTTCATTCCACAAAGAAGTCTCATGGTAGACCACCAAGGATCCAGATGATGTGGATGGTACCGTGAGTTTTGTTCCGATGTGTGTTGGTGGAATTTGGCGACTGGAATTAATCTGAACAATGTGTCTAAATACTCCCCGCGGAAAATTCGATGGAAAATGCAATGAGATGCAACACCTCTTCGCAGCGCCAGGGAATCGAGCCGATCAGAAAGAACTCTATCGTCGACGATACGAGCCTCTCTTCGCTGGATGCAGTCAAGTGGAAGGAGCTGGCACTGGGGTGGCCCGGTTCAGAGATGAGAATAGTACCTACTCCGTTGCGGCGTGTGCCGGCATGAAGTACTGTCTGAATACGCCAAGCGTTTTAGAGGTCAATTTAGGCTTCCCTACCAAGTGACCGCGGAACTGTACCGTCATTCGATTTGTCGATACCGAGGATTCTGATGTTGGCTGAGGTAGTTTGGGGAACCTTGAAATTAGCTTTTGGGGTAAGTGTGAAAAATAATAAATAGAGGAGATACGACAAATGGGTTCTATTTAGCTGTATTGTGGTATTAGATGTATTAGTACTGTGTATTAGAGGTAGAGAAGAGAGAGCTTGAGCAGTTTAAAATCTTTGATTCACGTCTAGTCAGTTACTAAAAGACGAAAGGTGCCAAATAATTCAGTCTTATTTTTACAATTTATTTACTTGTTTTGTACCAAAACTAAAGATGCCTGACAGAAGTTCCCTTAGACAACCTTGGAAAAACACCGTAATAAAATTAGAGGTGGAGACAATGAGCAGTTTAAAATCTTTCAATCACTTCTAGTCAGTCAACGAAAAACGAAAGGTACCAAATAATTCAGTCTTATTTTTACAATCTAATTACCAAAAATAAAGATTATTTATTGAGAATATTATACCAAATTTTCTTATAATTGGTGCTTGCAAAGGCAAGCTCATCGCCCCCTCGAACCTTGCGCCCTTGACTTCAGCCTAGTTGGCCTATGAGTAAATCAGGCCATGTTTAAGCTGCTACTAAAGTAACAGCTTACATACTCGTACGTCTCATACCTGTGCACAAAGCTCCTCATCACCCATAATATTTTGTGAGCAGGGAAGTCGCAATACTTCATTGCGCATTAACGGTTCTAACATGTCCACAATTTGTTTGTTTTTTAATCGGACATCTAATTTTCCCACAAAGTTATTATTTATCGCTTTACCATCGAACATGTCGGCTAGTTTCAAATTATTACACAACACTTAAAGAATTTATTTTGTTTTTTATGAAATAAGTAAACATATTTTTTAAATATATTTCTTATTTCTATTACTCTAAGTCAGGGATGGGGAAACTTTTCCTTCGCGTGCCAATATTTACTAACGAAATGTATGGCGGGCCAAGTTGTTGAATTTTTGGCTATATTATTTGCTGAAATAAAAATATTGAAAGGTATGTATTTTCTGAAACACTAATTTATTGAGCAATATTACAAAATAACCATTGAAATATAAAATAATCCGCAAATTGCATTTAAATTAAACTTTTAAGTTAGCTGGGAAGTAGAAGGTTGCGTAGCGCTGGTCTTTGTGGGGACACGTGACATGTGGAACTGTTTTTGTTTCTGCATGATTTCATTTTAATTTGGCTCCATTTGTGACGGTGAAATTTTTAGCAGTGAAAAAAGGTGGTCATCCGAAAGCCTATTACGAAGACAATTTTTTCTTAGTTTCATTATTGAAAACGTTTGTTTGCACAAATAGCTTGTACCAAACATAGCCATTAATTTTTGGGCGCGGGCAACTATATTTAAATATTGCGTCCTAGATATGAATTTATAAAATTCCAAATTGCTGGTGTTAAGAAATAGTTGCTTCAAATGGGCATTGCATTGCATCTCAATTAGTTCAAGTTGTAGGTTAGCGGGTATTTCATCGACGTTAACATTAAAAGGCATTGAAAAAATATTTAGTGACGGATCGATTTCCTTAAAATCTTGAAATCTGTTATCAAATTCCTCGTGCAGATTCTTCAGTTGTCGAGCGAACCTAAATAGGTTGTCGTCTGAGACAGGTGATATACTGATCAGTTTGGGAAAATGGGTAAGTTCATTTTTCTCTACACAACCTAAGATGTTTTTAAGAGTACGTCATACTCGCTCTAAAATGGCAATACGAAAGTCAGGTAATTGCCCGACTCGCATTCAGTCGGGCACGGTCTCGCATCGCGGCTATACCTTCGCTACGCTAACGCGTAAATCTTCTAGTTATTCGTCGCAAAAATGCCTTCCTGTGTTTTTAAGTGGTGCACAAATTACACGGCAACTATTAGAGACAAGAAAAACGTCCTATTAATATTTTGAATATAGATGTTTTGTTCATAATTGGTTTTATTATTTCAACACTAACCGCTAGTGTGTTCATTTTCTATATCGGTATGTCACGCGCTCGCGCCAATGAGCGCTCGGCAGCAATCAATTCGCAACTAATGATGTATATTCATCTTTTTCTAATGATAGGTATGCCCTATCATTTGTCCCTCTTTGTTAACGCAACGTGTCATAATAAATAACTGTACGTAGATATAGTAGTACCTGCGCCACTTTAAAATACAATAATGTTATTGTGTAACCTATCTTTTTTAATACGTCTTTGTACACAAGTGCAAAACAATTTAAGCTGCAATTTAAAGGCTTTTAAATGTGTCATTTGAGAATTGATTCTTGCCCTGAAGCAAATCTGTGAGATATGCGAAATCAGGAAGCCAATTTTCATCAGACATGATTTTAAAGTCGTCCCATTTGCCTTGCACCGTCAGAAAGTCTTGAATCTCCTTTCTTAAATTCCACACTCTCTCAAATGCATCACCACAGCACATCTCACTTTAGTATGGTAGAGGAGATCAGAGAACTCACTTTCGGTGGATTTTATAAATTGTTGGAATTGTCGATACATCAAACCTCTGGAACGTATTGTTTTGATAAGTTTAACAACCACACTCAAAACGAGTTGTATGTCAATAGAAGCTTTACACAACATATCCTGGTTAATTAAACAGTGCAGAAATAATACATTATTATTAGGGTTTTCTTAGGGATATCCGCAGTAGAACCAGAGTGACCGACATAGCCTAACGGATTAGTAAGCTGAAGTGGCAATGGGCCGGCCATATAGCTCGAAGAACAGACAACCGATGGGGAAAAAAGATTCTCGAGTGGCGGCCTCGTACCGACGGACGAAGTGTAGGGCGTCCTCCCTCTAGATGGAGTGACGACCTGGTAAGATATGCAGGAAGTCGATGGATGCAGGTGGCTCAGGACCGTGCTTTGTGGCATTCTTTGTGGGAGGCCTATGTTCAGCAGTGGACTTGTGAAGGGCTGTAATGATGATGATGATTAGGGTTTTCTTTGCAAAATATACCCATAAACCCCAAATTTCTGCCCACCATATTAGGTGCTCCATCTGTGGTTATGTTACACAATTTGTCCATAGGCAAGTTAAACTTTGAAATACCCTCAAGACAAGAATCGTAAATAATTTTTCCAGTGGTTTTTCCTTTCAAGGATTTTAAGTATGCTAATCCTCGGTAATGTTGAACGCTGAATCAATTCCTCTAATAAAAATCAGCAATTGGGCAGTATCGCTCACCGGATTTCAGCGCCTCGCGGGCCGGAGATGGCCCCCGGGCCGTAGTTTTCCCATCCCTGCTCTAAGTAATCAGTGATCATCTATGCAATTGATGCATGCTTGCCAACGCAATGGCGGTTTATTGATGCCCTTCTTGATGAAATCAACTGGACGAGAGGCAACAAATTCTTTTTTGCCTCCCGTCCAATTGATTTTCAAAGGCATATTGTTTTTTCCCGCCAAAAAGTTATACAAATTCTGGAAAAAGTATAAGTCTGTATGCGGTAGGCGCATGGTCTGGTGAGTACGGCGGGTGACGGAGAGCTTCCAACCCCAGCTCTTGTAACTTGGAGACCGTCTGTTGTGCAGCATGAGGTCGCGCGTTGTCGTGCAGGAACAGCGGTGACGAGCGATTGACCAAAGCTGGTTGGAGACATGCGTGCTTCTCCATAACTGTGTTCAGTTCTTCACAGTACACATCTGTGGTAATGCTCATCCCGTTTGGTAAGAAGCTGTGATGAATCACACCGGCGCTAGACCACCAAACAATGAACATTACTTTTCTAGGGGTAAGTTTTCATTTAGGGCATTGTAGCAGAATTTTTCGTCGCAGGTAAGAGTGCGGTTCAAAATTCCTTCGTTTGTGTGCTTGTTGAGCATGTCTCGACGTATACTTCGCGCTGCTTGTGCCGCGTTACTGCCGCGACGGTACTCATATTCCATAAT